GGGGGACATGTCCCCCTGTCCCCCCCTGGATTTGCGCCCCTGGTAAGCATGCTGCATGCGCATAGACACGTCTAAATTTAAAACCCATCGCTTTTTTAAGGAGGTATGCAAGATTTGGATGATTTAGATTTGTGTATAATACCAACAAAATTAATGATTTATGGCCGCATATAGAGGAGGGAGTAGCAGGGCTTCCGGCTTTAATTATCAGCGGCAACGGCGCTTTGCTACAGTCAAACGTTCAGAACTCAAAGCGCACGTGTCTCTCCCCTCCCCTCCAGGCAAAATGAGTTATAGCCATTGCCCCGATTAATGGCTGTAGGCCTAATTGATTCCTGTATTATGGTTTCAAGTAAAAACCCACGAATATAATAAAATCAGGCTGAATATATTGTTTTATTATTATTACATATTGCATTTTTAGCCTCTACGGGCTATTAAATAGGTGTATTGCATTGGTGTTTATATTTTGCATGTCTCTAAAATCTACGGGGCACCTGCCTCAATCTACGGGGGGCCTCAAATCTACGGGGGGCCTGCTCCAAATAGCAAATGCTTATGGAATCCCCGTTGCTTTTTCCCCGTTTGACATAACGTTGTAAGACGATTTTGAAATCCTGATAAACCACGAATGCGATCAAATATTGGGTATTCAAAATATTGTATTTATAATTTTCGTAAATATAAAAAGTGACAAGAGATTTTCTACATAATGACAACCGGAAGTAGCCAGGTTGTGCGAACCCCTATGCACCGTGGCGCTTTGATGGAGGTGGCGATTCGTCGTTACCATTTCTAGTGTATTTCATGAGACTGGTTTTGATTTAACAATAACATCACGTACGCGGCTGATGTCTATATTATTTTCAATATGAGGCTGTTATTTGTTACGTTTGGGAGCATAATGCTTACCAGTATCGTGATAGGGAATGCTTATCATCAAAAGAAACAGTTTTACCCTTCTGTTGTTTATTTGACTAAGTCGAACCCTAGTATGGCGGTAAGAATACGAGCTTATTCAATATTATTATGCAATTATTTATCTACTATGCCGTACACAGGCACTTGGAGCGTTTCAATAAAATATAATGCTAAATAAATACGAAATCTATTTACTACCAAAGTCTTAATGTTTCTCTACTCTCTTTCACCTATTATTGCCGACAATTTTCTGTAAATGCCGTCCAAATGCTCATCTGCAACACACTGTCACACGCTGGCCGCCGCACGCTAGCTGCTGCACACTGACACATAAATATATAGCAGGTAGGAAAGCGTGCTGCCAAAATTCGCTCGACGCTCGTTTGATTTCACACGAATACAACACAAACATTCAACCATTCTACTCCATCTTTGTTTCTATTTGAAGGGCAGTGTTCACTTGTTATAAAAACATACTGTCTGTGTTCGTAAACGAGCTGTGTCACGCGAAATCACACAACAGCCCTGACAAAATTCTCGCGTTCGCTCCCTTTGCGCAGTTTATGTAAATGGCGCGAATCAGGAAACACCCACCGCGCTCTTTCTGACCTCATTTTTGCGGCCGCATTATTGCAACGTTCCACTGGCGGCTTGACGAGCTGCGTACGGGAGTTGGAAAGCAGCGTGGTAGTTTCCCAAAAATGCAGTGTGCCGCCTATAGCCCTGTACTTGCAGCCATTTACATAAACTGCGCAACGGACGCGAACGCAAGAATTTCGTCAGGCTTTGTGTGATTTCGCGTGACACACTCGGTTACGAACACAGAGAGTATGTTTTATAACAAGTGAACACTGCCCTTCAAATAGAAACAAAGATGGAGTAGAATGGTTAAATGTATTCGTGTGAAATCAAGCGAGCGTCAAGCGAATTTTGGCAGCACGCTTTCCTATCTGCTAATATAACTATATATTTATGTGTCACTGTGCAGCAGCTAGCGTGCGGTGTACTTGTGTGTTGCAGATGAGCATTTGACCGGCATTTACAGGTGATTATAGGTGAAATAGAGTAGAGAAACATTAACACTTTGGTAGTAAATAGATTTCGTATTTATTTAGCATTATATATATATTGAGATGTTCCAAGTGCCTGTGATGCCATACATCGTGTGGTACACGTTGTTAGCTAAACGTGAAAAGTCATAACAAGACGGTTTCAAATAGCAATACCTTTGCAACATGGTGATTCCTTGTTCAACTTGAGCAGTGTTTTTCCTCAATTTCTACAAGAGCAATGCCAATGCATTGCGAAATGCTGTATTTAATCCTATTGATAAATATTTCAATTTTATGTTATCTATCTACTTTAAATTCCGAGGTGAAAGTGCTACCCACAAAGCCACCATTTATCTTGAATTACTAGCCAGCTTTTTCATATGCATCATTGTGGTGTTGTTTGTTTTGAAAATATGTTGACTCCAGGGTGCAAAATTAACGCGAGTCTGGAGTCAAATACTCCCTGATGTACTGTCGGACTCCCTGATTAGACATATACAGGAGTGACGAGTCCGTGTGACTCCCTGAAAATTCTGCTATACTAACTAGTTCGTTCCAGAGCACGGCCTCGAGTAATTACCATATTTTTTCAGCAAATCTTTAATTTTGGACTTCAGACTACAGACTCCCTCATTTTGAGGGCAGCGAGTCCGTTGGACTCCCTTGTTCAAAAGTTAATTTCTACCCCTGTGACTCCACACGTTTTCTAATATTTCTAAAATGTGCTTCAGATCAAAAAACAGCTTTGCGTCTGTTGTCTTGGGAGCAGCCATCTAAAATCATAATATCAAAATACACATTGGTGATTGCTAATTTTTAAAATTCCCTTTCAGGTTCTATATGTTCAGGCATTGGTGTTTGTTGTTCTTGCTGGGAAGCTGCTGCGAAAATTCTTTTTTGGGCAATTACGAGCTGCAGAAATGGAGGTTTGTACCAGCAGACATGGCAGTGTAATTAGTAAGGGTGAGATGATATGAGTAGCTCACAACAGGATCTTTTTCACAATACATGCATATTCTGCATATATATGCATGTCACGATACTTTCAAGAGAACTACCTAGCAAACTATCCAACCAACCAGGACTCAAATGTAAATGCTTACAAATTGGTATTGTGGAGTGCTTATTAAATAACTGTTACTGAATTGTGATTTGTGTTATGTTTCTTTTTTTTTATATGAAACTATGCTGCTAAAGGATGTAGCTTTTATATTCCGTTGAGTATCGTTGTGTGTATCCTAGATAGTCAAACACGCAGCACTGGCTAGTATACAATATTTACCACAATGGTCACGTGAAATGAATTTGCGGAATCCTTAATGAATATTTTATATCCGTTTTTGTTGTTCCTTGCAGCATTTGATTGAGCGGTCTTGGTACGCAGTCACAGAGACGTGCCTGGCCTTCACCGTGTTCCGGGATGACTTCAGTCCGCGGTTCGTTGCCATGTTCACGCTCCTCCTATTCCTCAAGTGTTTTCACTGGCTTGCTGAAGATAGAGTAGATTATGTGAGTACTGAAACAGGAAACATAGCTTGCTCTTGTCATCATGGGTAGCTGAGATGATCTTATTCACTTGTGGTGCAACTTGTTTATGTTAACTGTCATAGCGATGTGGGTTCGGGAAGGGGTCCATGATTAGGCGTGGTCCGGGGGCCCTCCCCCAGAATTTTTATTTGAAAATTACACCTCTTAGATGCAATTTCCTGCACTCTGAGGCAGCATTATTAAACAATCTTCATCACAAAAATATCATTTTTGAGTTGAGTATTTTAATCTTTGGGGACACCAAAATACTTAATTAAAAAAATAGAAACAATAAACTTCAAATTGCTGAGGGTTGAACTGCTCAGTCTCTGCCAAGTTATACAAGTACAATGCTAAGGCAAAGTAATGTGGTTAATAAGTTAATCTATATGCCAACTGAATTAACGCAGGCCTCGACGCTTAATTATTTTCATATCTGTACAAAATTTACTTGCAATCTATGAGCCGTTAAGGTCCTCTTTTGTTTCAGTGCATATCATATTACCAGGAGTGTATAATATAGAGATCTATATTATATAACTATTTATATAATATAGATCTCTATATTATTATACACTCCTGGTAATATGATATGCACTGAAACAAAAGAGGACCTTAACGGCTCATTGTGTGTCATTCCCGATTGAAGCTTTTTCCTCAATTCCAGGAAATAATTTTGCTGTCGTCCTCTGATCCCAGGGTGCCCACCCCCTATAATGAACATGCCCCACGCGACTTTTAAACAATCTTTCACTCCCCCCCTCCCCCGTACATCAATCAATATGCCGCCCCAAGCACGTATACACAGCCATGCTGTGCTGACTGTCGGCGACCTTTGATAATATAAAATGAGGATGGCGTGGGATAGCTGCCCTTCACAATCGCTAGAACTGTTTTTCATCAATGTTTGGATATATAACGTAAGGAACCAACATTTGCTTAAAGTTTTAGACAATTATTTTTACTCGCCAACATGGGCGAGTCAGCTTTAGCTTTTACTCGCCCGATATTATTTTCACTCGACATTGGCGAGCGGGCGAGTGCCAAACTCGTTCGCTGTACAATGAATATATCAAACGATACAGTAATTGTTTATTCACTTTAATAGTATATTGGAACGTGGAAACTTCAAAGAAAATTACGGTAAAATGGGACCAAAATATTCAATGGTCCGTCATTCCATTGACTTTGAAAATCTGATGGTCCTCCTGATTATTTGATGGCCCCGGACCATCGGACCATCGCTTATTTCGACCCCTGTATATATATATAAATGTATATATATTATAGTACTAGTGTACTACATACAATATTCAGCTTTGATAATAGAAATGTCTATTTTAGATGGAGCGGAGTCCAATTATATCTTGGGTGTTCCACATACGAGTTGTTTGTAAGTATTAATTTAGGTTTATCATTGTTAGTTTACGCTTTTGTCCAACATGTCCAATAGGATTTATGTACAGAAATACCTGGCATTATGGAAACTCGAGTTACTGACATTTGCCCGGGTGAAATATGTAAATCATTACGGCTATACTACTATATATCGTAAACTCGTGATACTCAATGAAAACTTGTTCTTACGGAATGAAGTCTTGCAAGGAAATGAGCAGGTATTTCTCCATAAAAAGTGGCGTGCTTGATTTCTGTCAATAAAATCATTGTAACATGCATGCAGCCAGCTACCAACAAGTAAGTCGGTCCAGTCTTGAAATGTGCCACTAGCCTGTTAGATAACTTTTTGCCCTAAGAGACTTAAGGGGGGTGCATCTCTAAATATAAACTTGAAGTGAGTGGGAAAGTTCCATTTGTGTTATGGAATTTTACTTTAGAAACATTCTGTCTGGAATGCATTGCTTTCATAATGCAGACTGTTGTGTCAGAGCATTGATAGTAATAGTTGCATTGGCAGCCAAATCATCACTGGTAGGGTTCATTGGTAAAAAATCTCTTAAGGCAAACATGTTAAACCTTCACATCTAATATGTAGGGTCACAGTGCATAGGGATCACTTGATAGCCTAGAATTGTCTTGTTATTTAAATGGTACAGGTGTTTGTAAATAAGTATACATTTAAGAGAAATTTTCTCAGTTCTGTATTTTTTCACTAAATTGCAGCATTGCTGAGTCTTCTAGGAGCCCTGGACATGTATTTTGTGCATCACGCATACCATAGTACTCTGACCAAGGGAGCATCTGTACAGCTCGTCTTCGGTTTTGAGGTAGGACATTTTATAGGATTATGTCTACTGTGTTTAAAACGAATTGGTTTTGCTACTACAGATGTATATTATCAAGAGCTTATAATACCTAGAATGCACAACGCGAAAACGGGAAAATGGTGCTATTTTACGGCAAAGTTATTCTACTTTAACTGCAAGTCTAGAATAACTTCATAGTATTGCATCAAGCAGCATTCTTTGCTCTCTAAAACAAGAGGAGTCTTGTAGGAGGCATGATTACGATCCAATATCTCAGCCTAGCAGTGTCGTTGACAGAATGTCAGCCTGACAGAAGCGGTTGGTCTTGTTTTAGAGAGGAAAGAATGCTTCTTAATGCTGTAATGGAATACTATGAACGTGCTTGATGAATTCCAACCACTTTCTGTTTCAGTATGCCATACTGCTGACAGTAGTCATAAACATCTTTGTCAAGTATGTGCTGCACACGATAGACCTTCAGAGTGAGAATCCTTGGGACAACAAGGCTGTCTACCTGCTGTACACAGACCTCATGATGGGTGGGTAGAGACTGAGTCAGAAACATAGCGCGCGCGTGTACTGTCGCAGTGACAGGCACTTTATTTAAATCCATCTGCACGTGAGTGCCTGCGTGCGTGCGTGCATGTGTGTGGTTGTGTGTGTGTGTGTGCACACACGTGTGCATATCAGCCAAGTCAAAATGTGTGAATTGATATATTGAGTCTATGATAGGTAATATTGAGAGCATACTACTATTTAGTAGCATGGTCATACTTTTGTAACATCGTCAGTAACACAAGGAATTATTTCGCAATTGGAATATGTATTATTCTGTAATGGCTGTGCTGTGTGATTAACAATTATGACATTACAGAAATATTTCATCTGGTGTAAGCAATTAAGGAAGAAAGAATATGGTGATGTGATTTGATATCAAATTAAAAATAGGCCAGCTGTATAATTAACTATGTGAAGTGATAGCTATGCACGGTATTGCCAGGATTGATTAATCTGAAGCAAATTCAGGTTTTTTTAAACATTTTGTGACGTGTGCATTGGCTGCCCCTCATGAATGCAAGTTTATCAGGCTTGTGTGAAAATCTTCAATTGATCTTATTAGAGGAATTTTTTTCGTCACATTTGTTACTTCGGTGGGCGGTTGTTGGTAGCTTGGTTACTGTTCAGGAAGGATGGTGTTCACACATCTCACCCGCATTGTAGATCTGTGAACGAGCACAATTGTGAAGGTGACTGACGCGTTGCAATACCGTTCTCGTTTCAGGGATGACAAAGGTAGTTCTCTACATGCTGTTTGTGGTCATAATGATCAAAGTTCACACATTCCCGCTGTTTGTCATTCGGCCGATGTATCTCACTATCAGGTTAGTCCCCTGACCTCGCGGATACTTCCGGGGTCATGCGGCTGGACCACGTGAAATGTCTCTGTTGGCACCTTTTGTCAGCAACTCATCTCCACGTGTTTGTTAGTAATCGATTGTAGCACCAGCTGATTTTCACCATATTAGTGATTTGCCTCGGTATTTTTTGTGTGTCTTGTTATTTGTTTATCTACTCTTGTCTCATCTAATGCTGTTATGCAATACTAATTAAAGTAATTGCCAGTGCTGTTTCACTTCTTTTAGACAGTTTTAGCTAAAATGTGGTTAAATTATTATCTGATGTGTATTGTGTACTATGTTATAAAGTGATGCTTGAGGATAATAGTACAGAGACACTCTGTTAGATTTCCAATGAACTTGATAGTTCTCAACAAAGGTCATCGACCAGAATGCTTTGAAGAAAAGTAATTCTTTGCCATTATTCGATATAACTAATGCGAGCGCGCTACGATTGTCATCTGCTAACATTTTACTCTCGTTGTCTTGTTGCAGAGCGTTCAAGAAAGCACTGAATGATGTCATCATGTCGAGAAGGGCCATTCGAAACATGAACACGCTGTACGTGATCCGTGCACGTAGTAGATAGATGAAGCTTCCCTAGCAGGGGATTTATTCTACTGTATCATATTGAAACTACTAAAATACTATATAGTAACATGCTATATACTATATAGTAATATACTATATTCTATGTGGTAATATACGAATATACAATATGGTACTCGTTTTAAAAAGTACTAGGTATAGGAGTACACGTATCAGGAGAGAGATGAGATGAAACCTGAAGGGCTCTGTATTACAACAACAGTAACATGTGCAGTGTATAAGTTAAAGTATGGCTAACTTCACAGTGCGCTTGCTTTTAGAGAAACCTCTGCTATAGTTCAGTTATCTTCCAATAGGTTTATGTTCGTTAGCCACCTGTCTGTTGGGCATGTTAGCTGCATGGTTTCTTCTGAGGGAAAATTAGACAAAGGAGGTAATGGCCAGTTTGGGGAAAAAACGCGCATGATGGATTCAAAGGCGTGCCGTAGGTGTAGGACCCCGCGTCACATGACTCACTAAACGCACATGGCAATCTAAATTTAATTTAATTTAATGGCAATCTATTTTTACAACGGTGGGTAAATACAGAAACATTTTCACAACGTCGATGTTAAATTTGACAACGGCGTTGCGCCACTGTACCTCTTATGTATAAGAAACCCTGAGCTATAATGTCTACCTCCTTCCCTCCCTACCTAACTAACTTTCAACCTGCTGTGACTGGTGGGTAGGCATTCATTTTAAACAAATATTTTATTTTATGTCGGCATTAATATTACTATTTTATATAAACACGGTTATTACTCATTCTTTATTTTATTTTCATTATTCATAATTAGTATTTTATATTAATTATTACTTTAATTTATATTAATATGCCCCCTTCCCATCGTCAGGTATCCGGATGCGACTCCGGAGGAGCTGCAGGCTTCGGACAACGTGTGCATCATCTGCCGGGAGGAGATGGTGAGCAGCTGTAAGAAGCTGCCCTGCAACCACATCTTCCACATCAGCTGCTTGCGCTCGTGGTTCCAGCGGCAGCAGACGTGCCCCACGTGCCGCATGGACATCCTACGATCCCCCGCGACGGTCGCGGCAGCGGCAGCGGCGGCTGCCGCGCCTGGACCGCAGAGGGCGCCGGCGGAGCCCGCGGCGGCGCAGCAGCAGGCGGTGCCGCAGCAACTTCCGCAGAGTGAGTGATAGCGCGCGCCTCGTTTTTGGCCAGCTTTTTGTTCTTAGCAGAAAAGTCACGAGCCCTGGCTGACCTGGTTATTATATCGTTGATATTCGTTAGGAGGGTGCTGGAGCGAGATTCATCAAGGTTGCGTAAAGTCTGTTGTGTACACAAAGTTTTTACGAAGTACGTACGCATCGTAGGTGCGATTCATCAACGGAGCGTAGCACCTGCGTATGCAAATGTTAATGAATTCCAGTGTAAATCCACTACGCCATCGTAGCTGCTGGTTGTTGAGGGGCGTGTTTAGCAGAAACCAATCACACTGCGACACATACCATAGCAACCAAACTGATGCTTCTCTTGTATATAAACCATATGGCTCTAGCTCTGTCTACAGGAGTGCTGGGAGATGTGATAGTTGTCCTCATTTTCGTTTGTATGATTGCATTCAACACTCGATGAAAGCAGCGACACGTACGCGTGCGTGCGTGCGTGCGTGCGTGTGTGTGTGCATATGTGCGTGCGTGCGTGCGTGTGCACATACACGTGCGTGCGTGCATGTGTACATACACGTGCGTGCGTGCGTGTGCATGTACACGTGCATGCGTGCGTGTGTGCGGACGTACACGTGCGTGCGTGTGTGCGTGCATGCGGGCGTGCGTATGTGCGTGCATGCGGGCGTGCGTGTGGGTGCGTGTGTGTGCATGTACACGTGCATGCATGTGCACGTGCACGTGCGTGCGTGTGCACGTACACGTGCGTGCGTGTGCATGTACACGTGCGTGCGTGTACACGTACAAGTGCATGCGTGCGCACGTACACGGCTAACTACGAACTCGCTTATAACGAAAACAATTCCAAGCTGTGACAAAAGAAGCGTCAAAGGCGCTGCCTGTCTGTGTAGTAAGGTAGTTATTTATTCATTTTTATTTGAGTAGTAATTTTATGTTTTCTCAATAAAGTAATGCATGCTGCGGTATGCTGGAAACACTTGCGGAAATTTTGAGTGGTTTACGGCACCTCTTCAGCTCGTGTAAAGTTACGCAAAGATTTACGTAAATTTTAGCTTGATGAATCGCACCTAAAACGGCCTCGCTTGCGTACGCGAAATCTTACGAAAATTTACTAAATAGCTGCGTTGATGAATCGCAACTAAGCAACGTCGATTGCGTACACAAGATTTACGAAAAATATTTTGCGTACGCGCGTTGATGAATCTACCCCCTGGATCTTAAAAGCAACTTACATCCTCGAGCAGTGTGCCATGAAAGTAGGTGAGATGTGTATTCTATGTGCTACCCCAGTACTACTCCAGTTAGTGCTGCTCTGCAGTGTGCTGTCTAATTATTGATAGCACTCTTGCAGTTTTTCGTGGATTGTTTTTACTGAAAAATGAAAAAAATAGTAAAATCCATTGACAAAAAGTGTCTGAATGTACAACATGGCGATAGAAGCCGTCATTTTTTGTACAACCGACGCATGTGCTGTACAATCAACATAAAATCATTCTGCTGTGCAATTCACCAGTGCAATTGGTCCTCTCTCTGGCCTTCCACCAGTACGACCCTACAGATTGCCATTTCGGTTACGTGGTCGGTCCATTATCCTCGAACGTTTAATTAATCCAGGAATTTTTAGGAACAGATCTTTAAGGAGATAACTATGGTGATAACAGCCTTTAAGGTGATGACTAAGCGATCTCACACGTACATTTATGTTCTGTGATAGTCGTGGCTGCTATTGACATGTACCAAAAGTCCACAATTATGATCTGCAAAACTAACACAAGGTGCAGAGGTTGACTTATATTAGCCTAGAGAGAAGTGAAGTTCACTCGCAGGCAGCCATGATGCGTTGATTGTATTGCGCAGCGCCTTATCTAAACTGATATTCACGCATTACAACGACACGGCCTTTCCCACTGACACGTATTGTATAGTCACTGAATGGTGTTTTTTTCTGTGCACAGAGGCGACGGTTTTTCTTGCCCAGCGCCCCGCGCAATGTCTGCGGACTGTGTTGATGTGTTCGTGTCGCACGTATTTCAGTGTTTATGGGCGGCTTTCCTATGTGGCCACCAATGAACCATCTGCAACCAGCTGGAGCAGCGGGGGCGGCGGCAGGGCCTCCACCAGGGCAGCAGCCAGAAGTGCGGGCTACAGAAGCTGAAATGCCAGGTAAGCACGTTACACTAGGCCATAATAAAAATATTGTTTGTTTGCCCTGACCCGACCGACCCGCGAAAAAAGGGCCGACTCAAATTTTTTTATTGATCTTTCCCATTCTTTTTTTTTTTACAAATTGCATCACTGTACATTGTATAAATCTGTAGGCAATACATTATATGTACCAAGCAAAACAGACATTCAACATAAAAGGTATCTCCACACAAGCACACCTGAACATGTAGACACCATGCTGAATTTGTAAAAAGACCCCCCTCAAAAAACAGCTTCATTACCTACCCAAACTTTTCAGCCTGGGTCGGGTGAGGGCAAACAAAGATTTTTTTAGTTGTGGCCCTAACGCTTTACTCCCGGACTTCTTTGCTTTCGTTTATTCCTTCTTCTTTGTCGTCGGCGTCGTCGGCGTCGTCGTCGTCGGCGTCGTCGTCGTCGTCATCGTCATCTTCCTGTTCTTCAGGAGGCATCAGCTCCCTTGCCTGCTGGCGTTGCACTGTGTGGTATCGTAAGATTGGTAACGTCTAATGTCATTCTCGGAAGTGGATCCAATCATATTTAAGTAAAAGTACTTCCATAGTTTAGTTATGTTAGTGAGCAGATAGTGTCCCCTGTTAAAATAATAAAATGTTTACTTGGACTTCACCTTGCCTGTAGTCGGCGGTCGAATAGAATAACAAAGCTGCCGTCAGCATTAAAGCTATCAGGGGGTTAGTGTAAATAGAATCACACCTATGTAAACGTGTCAAACGGGATGTAGTGATGGAAATGTGAGATAAGGCCACAATTAAAAAACTCTTTGTTTGCTCTCACCCGACCCAGGCTGAAAAGTTTGGGTAGGTAGGCAAGCTTTTTTTTGAGGGCGTCTTTTTACAAATTCAGCATGGTGTCTACATGCTCAGGTGTGCTTGTGTGGAGATACCTTTTATGTTCAATGTTTGTTTTGCTTGGTACATATAATGTATTGCCTACAGATTTATATAATGTACAGTGATACAATTTTTGTAAAAAAAAAAAGAATGGGAAAGATCAATCAATACAAATTTTTGAGTCGGCCCCTTTTTGGCGGGTCGGTCGGGTGAGGGCAAACAAACAATGTTTTTATTATGGTCTAACTTGCGGCGAAAAATTAGATTTTGTGTCTGGTCGCATCGAGGGCTCTGTGAGTTTTAGCGTAGTTCCCTGTAGTGTTTTTCACGTCGAGTGTGGTTTTTCTTTTTCAGCAGGCACTAGCGCACCCACGACAACATCGGCAGGTGGCGCGACGGGGGCGTCGCCCTCGGTGCCACCGCCACCTGGAGGTGGCTTCATCCCTGGAGCGCCATCTATGTTTGGCTTCACGCCAAACATGTTCATGCCTTTCGGTGAGTAATTCCCAACGTTTAACAAGTTCACCGCTGTTATGTTAACAATGGACCTGCCACCCTGCACTAGAATTTATATGCTTTCTCTTGTGTGTTACATCAAAATTTAACATATTTACCATTTATAGAAAAGTACACTTCATACATTTTATATGGTTAAACTATATTAAAGATGTGCTGTGTATATCTGGTAAAAGGTTGTAAAAAATAATTAGCCAGTACATGATAAAAAATAAACGTGAAAGTCTCTTGTGGAATAATTACCGAGATTTAATCCTTATATGTAACATGTTGTGTGTAGAGAAGTGAAAATACGAGAAGGGTGACCCTCTATCGGGTCTTTGTTATCTACCTTCAGCCATCTGTTTACCTGTCAAGTTTTAGCAGGATTTGTACTTGTTTGAGATGTGAATTTTGTCTGTTTGTAAAATTTGATCTTGTGTAGAGATTGAATATAAATCTCAACCAGTTCTCTAATTCTATTATCACTAGGCACTGAGGGAAATGTAAGGGAGTACTGGATAGGGAGATTAAGAGAAAAAGAGTGTAAAAAAATTGAGAGAGAGAGAGAGAGAGAGAGAGCAGGAGTGTGAAAGTGAGAGTGAGGAGTGTGAGAAGTGGCTCACAGCCAGAGTAAGTGAGCATGCAACGACAGCCGTTTTTACTTGTGTATGTTACGTATTCGTGGTAACATTAGAATTTGCAACATTTTCAATCGTACGAATTCTCTCTAGTATTTAACATTCAAACTCGCAAAGGATGCGACGCCCCCTCGGCACCTATTGCGTCACTTATTGTCGTTGTCACCCCATTCGGCAGGCATGATGCCGCCTCCGCCGGCGCCCCCTAGCTTTGCGGGTCTGACGGACGAGGAGCTACGGCGGATGGAGGGGCAGGAGCGGCAGAACGTGGAGGCGAGGATTCAGTGCCTGCGCAACGTGCAGACGCTGCTTGACGCAGCCGTGCTGCAGCTGCAGCAGTACACGAGCGTAGTCGGTGCAACAAGGTGAGCGCCTGTCAATGCACATTGCCTGCCGTGCATTTGTCTTGTGTGTAGACGTCGAACCAGTAATTTGTAGCGATGTTTTTTTTGGGGGGGTGGGGGAACAGCGCGACGTGGTTAACACGTCACTCCGTGCTGTCGTCGCTGCTAGGAACTTGCCGATTTGCCTCCATTGGTATATTGGGGTGGGGGGTTAGTGCCCTGTATGTACAGTGTGCGTTTGGCTGGTTTTAGTCTACAATGGTCGCGACACACTATGAAGCTAATTTGCTGTTTTATGACAGATAGTAGCATGATGGGGTGGGTGGGGGGGGGCGTAATAGACTGCTCTACGTTTCAGAGCTGGTTGAATATTTCTTTACATGCCCAAGAGATGTTTAGTTTGCGTATACTGGATCATAAAGCAGGGATGGGGATTGCTATCGTATTATTCTAATTAGCTTGCACTCCATTATCGGTCATAACAAACTAGCATGCTGACTATACTCATGTTTCTGCTGACTTTTGTTTCAGTACGGCTAGCCATATTACGATTAGTCAGGCACCCACGTTCACTAGCTCAATGACGAACACAACAAGCAATGGGGGCGCCACCACTGGCACGACTCAGTCTAGTGGCGTTCATCTCGCTACAGGTGCCAACACGAGTGCAGTGCATTCTAGTCATGAAGTCAGCGGTGATTCCGAAGGTACTAAATTCAGTGAATGTATGCGAGATTACTATTGCATAGATACTGACTGCATTGATGCAAACATATGCATGTATATGCAATAGATATGTATTGCATTGATGGTATAGTGACTGAAGTGTCTGTTGATATTGACACTGATGATGTAATAAATTCGAGAGCACATAAACTACAGTGCGTAAACTACATAACAGCACATTTATAGAGCGAACACAACACATAAATCATTGTTTATTTGCTCTTTATAATATACGATAATACAGTGGTATGATGCAATACTTAGCAATGTTATAGCATGTCTGTATCATATAGTTGCATGTGTACTGATACCTAGTAAAATAGTCCAGTGATGTGTGCAAAGGCATTTTCTGTAAGTTGTGGGAAGGTGTTTTCTATAAGTTGTGCAAATCAATGTGTATATATAATGGGGTTTCAGATCACTGAACCTTGGTTAAGTGAGCACGCTTACAATCCTCGTGAAACAATCCAGCTATTTTCTGCACATGTTGTTTGCACACTTGCATCCTATGTTACAGATCACCAAACTAATCGTTGTCCATGTGTCACAGTCTCTGCCGTATGTTATAGACTATAGAACTACTTTCTATGCTTTGCAGTCTGTATCATATATATTCCCTCATGTTTCATGCTATAGACTATAGAATTAATTTCTATGCTTTGCAGTCTCTGCCATATATAGTCCATCATGTTCTATGCTATAGACTATAGAACTAATTTCTATACTTTGCAGTCTCTGCCATATATAGTCCACCATGTCCTATGTTATAGACTATAGAACCAATATCTATACTTTGCAGTTTCTATCATATATACTCCATTATGTCCTATGTTATAGACTATAGAACTATTTTCTACTCTGCAGTCTGCATATATACTCCATCATGTCCCATGTTATAAGCTATCAAACTATTTTCCACGTTTTCCAGTCTCCGGCAAACTACCTGAGAGCGTTGGAGCTACAGCGGCGGCAGCGAAAGTAACAGCTAACGACGTCGCATCCGATTCGTCCTACGTCGGCGAGGCGAGCGCCTCGGCGTCAGCGCCCTCTGGTGGTGGAGAGGACAAGAACGAGGAGGTGCGCAGGCGTCGGCTGCAACATTTCGAGGCAGCGCCAGCGGCCGGCGGCGAGACGGACAGCTAGCTGCACTGACCGACACAGTCGCGCGTCGCAGGCTAGAACAGCCTGGCCCAAGACAGGCACCGTCACGTCACGTCTCTTTCTTCGGGGGTGGGGTGGGGGGAGGCTCTTTCTTCAGTGTGGTGAGGTCCCTAGAGGTCGTCGTTTCCGCATAGCTGATTGCCGCAAGGGGCTTTGTGTCTGTGTGTGTGTGTGGTGTCGGCACGGCTGAACATTAGGCACTGTCATTGTGAAATCTCCCGATATTGTGTATATTGTGAACGACTTCTCGATCAACAGTTCACGTACCGACATGAACTGTTGATCGAGAAGTCGTTGCCCGCGACCGGGGCTGTCGAAGAGAGAGGACGCTGTTGTTTTTATGTTAGTTGCATTGCTGTATCGTGAAATCGGCACTGTAGCACGCGGAGATGGCGTGCCTCTGATAGCAAGTTATTTAGCGGCTGCTAGCGTATATTATTTACCAGTTACCCGATGACGTGGGTGCTTGTGTATATCAGTTAAATCATCCATGACATCACGGCTGCGTGTGTATATGGCTAATGTCACGCGATAACATCACGGCGACTGTACATAAATATATATTGAATCGCATGCTGACATTACACGCGCTAGTGCATAGGGGTTACATCAGCTGATGTGGGAACGGGTAGTGTATATGGGGTTATTATCTGATGCGTGACGTCCCAGCTGTTACTGCACAGTGTTTGTATCATATGCTGACATTGCAGCTCATAGTGTAGGTACGGTTATACCCCCATATGATGTCTTCACAGCAGTGCAGTGTGAGCAAGGCGTTCTTCACAAGGCGATGAGCAATATTTGGAATGTTTGTGTTTTGGGGCTTCTGAGTACGCCAGTTTCTGTTTGTTGGAAGCCACTGGGATGGGTCACAGACCCTTTCACCAGCTTTTGCCAAAAGCAGTCGCCAGTTTTTTGTCGAGGTTAGTTCTGACTGGTGCAGTGTGCCCTCTAAAGTCATTGGTTGTTTTATTCAAGTCGAGTGACGTTATTTTGGGAACTAGGGGTCTGTTGTCAGAAACATTATTAAAAAACTGTCATAAGTCTAAATTGTCGGAACGTTTACGAGACGCTCCACGTCGGAAGTTATTACATTTTAGACTCGTAATGTCGTAACTATTTGTTATGTTTCTGACAACGTGCCAGTGGTGTATAAACAGTATAAAGGTCTGTTATTGCAACGGAAATGAAACCGATAATATGTGTGCATAGAGATTACAGCGAATTGCAGGAAAATCAGCCGAGTTTTTGATTAAGCAGTGTCTGTAACGTAACTAGGGGTGACATTAGCGTGTGTCGTACGCGAGAGAAACGCTGATATGCTGGTGGGTTCTTAATAAAGGTATGTTCTCACCTACGCACGTGTGTCACTGATAACTGGATATTGTCGTTCGTATTAAGAGATTTCTGTTCGACTCGAGCAGCCGGTAGTTTAGCGACACCGGTTATCCCAGTGTACGTGTATTATGCATCCATATTTACACTCGCGCCAACTGCTGCACGATACACGGCATTATACTGAAAGAGAAAGAAAGCACGCGCGATATAGATTTGTAGATAGAGAACGAGAGAGAGAGAGAGAGGGGAGAGGGGGAGATAGATATATATAGAAAGCGAGCGAAAGAGGGAGAGATGCAACACGAACGAAAGAAAGAGAGAGAGAGAGAGAGAGAGAGAGAGAGAGAGAGAGAGAGAGAGAGAGAGAGAGAGAGAGAGAGAGAGAGAGAGGAGGATAAAGAAGTGAGAGGTCGTCAGACAGCCGAGAAAGGCTTAGAGAGCCACTGGTCTATAATTGAATGCAGTAGATCTGCATACGTTTGCGTGTGTGCGAATCATAGGATTTACGTGACATTTATACGTCACAGCACGATAAGTCACAGAGTGGTAAGCGTGGCACATTATTACGCACCGTAGAGTTCTTGCCACTTCCCCGTACACGCGCGTGCATACACACGCACGTACGCACACATTCACACGCACGAGCACGCGCGGGACCGAACGTGCATAACACTGACTTGGCTAGTGTGACCCCCTACCTCCCCGGGTCCACAGGCACTTGGAGTGTTTCAATAAAATATAATGCTAAATAAATACGAAATCTATTTACTACCAAAAGTCTTAATGTTTCTCTACTCTCTTTCGCTTATTATTGCCGACAATTTCCTGTAAACGCCGTGCAAATGCTCCTCTGCAACACACATGTAGACCGCACGCACGCTGCCGCACACTGACACACACAGTGTACATGTGTGTATATATATATCCGCACGCACGCTGCCGCACACTGACACACACATGTATATATTATATATATATATATATATATATATATATATATATATATATATATGTGTGTGTGTGTGTTTGAGTGTGCGGCAGCGTGCGTGCGGTCTACATGCGTGTTGCAGAGGAGCATTTGCACGGCGTTTACAGGAAATTGTCGGCAATAATAGGCGAAAGAGAGTAGAGAAATATTAAGACTGGTAGTAAATAGATTTCGTATTTATTTAGCATTATATTTTGTTGAAACGCTCCAAGTGCCTGTGCCCGGGTCGACTCTCCACCGTGCTGACTCGATGAAGCCACTGTATAACGAGGGAGAGGAGATACCGCGTCTGGTGGATGGTTGATGTCGGCGGCGGAGATCTCCCCCAATGCATCCGTAAACGGCAGCGGTTACTGCAGCCGGAACATTTTTTTGGGCATGTGTTAATCGGTGGTGTGTAACGTCAACGTCTGTCGTGTTTAGGCACGCGTTAATCAGCGGGCTGTGACGTCAACGACTGTCGTGTTTAGGTACGGGTTAATCAGTGACGTCAGCGTCTGTCGTGTTCAGGCACGCGTTAATCAGTGACGTCAGCGTCCGTCGCGTTCAGGTACGCGTTAATAAGCAGGCTGTGATGTAAGCGTTTCCTATGTTATCGCACGCGTCAATCGGCGGGTTGTGACGTCAGCGTTTCGTGTGCTATCGCACGCGTCAATCGGCGGGTTGTGACGTCAGCGTTTCGTGTGCTATCTCGCGTCAATCGGCGGGTTGTGACGTCAGCGTTTCGTGTGCTATCTCGCGTCAATCGGCGGGTCTATCTCGCGTCAATCGGCGGGTTGTGACGTCAGCGTTTCGTGTGCTATCTCGCGTCAATCGGCGGGTTGTGACGTCAGCGTTTCGTGTGCTATCGCACGCGTCAATCGGAATGTTAATCGTTTCGCTGTGACGTCAGCAATTTCTCCGCCGGCGGCATCATAATGCGAGGATCGAAGAGGGTAATAAACTGAGCCATAAATAATCCAAACATGAGAACATCGTCTGTTAATGTGTCTGTGTGCGGCGTCATAACACGCAGACGTTGATCACGTTAGCGTTGATGAGGGGATTTGCGCGATCTTCTGCCTTCAGCGGCGAGGACGGCTTTACGTTACCACGCGATATTTTGCGATGTTCTCAGGTAACAATCTATCTGTGCGAGCAACAAGAGCAGTGTCGTGTCGACTCAAGCGTATAATTGTACGCTATCTGACACGAACAAATTGCGCGTCTCACGTAATGCAAATACTAGAGATTACCCGTGGACGCATTTGCGCGTTTGCAATAGCTCTATATCATATGAATGAATGTAGATACGACAATAACAATTGCGGTGAGATATATATATATTATTTATATGTATCTTCCTACCACCCCTTTCTTCTCTGTCTCTCTCTCTCTCTCTCTCTCTCTCTCTCTCTCTCTCTCTCTCGCGCGCGCGCGCGTTCTCTCTTTCTTTATCTCTGTCTGTCTCACCCAAACTTACTCTCCGTCCCATCTCTCTCAGTCGGTCTCATTCTCGTTGATTGCCTCTCTCTTTTGGGGAAATACTGTATTTATTACCATATGATCATTTACCAATCCGTGTTTACCAGTAACACAACGATAACATTAATTAAAAAGTAAAAATTACATTAATGTCTGATGCTCCGAGGCGCGTGGCATATATACTCCCAGACGAAACATCGCATTTGTAGCGCGTTCCAGCATAGGTTACTGAACTGGCGTCGCATCTCCGTTGTACGAGTGGTCGGCTGTGCGTACATTGATGAGAATATGATGAGAAATAAGCGCGCCAACGCCGTACGTTCCAAGCCGGGTTACGACCAATCATCGCACGTGCGCAGCAGAGGACGTTCGATGATGCGCGTTCACACACGTCATGATTGACAGGTGTTGACACCAGTATGACAGGTTGATTGAATTTTGAGCTAAATCTCTTTGCACCGTTGCCACACGCTGTATCAAAGATTTGAAGTTTCAGCTCGGCGTAGGTCGGGCAATAAACGCAGGATGGCCGGTCGCGCTCGCAAAAAATGAAAAAGGTGTGAATGCAGTGGCGATGCATCGTATAGATGGCGCTATGTGCCAAGCTGCGACAAATCGATTCACACCGCCTAGTCGTCTGGCGCATCTGTGTGATTGTCATTTCGACACACATTTATACCCCCCTCCTCCCCATCCCCGTCACGCACTCGCTCGCTCATCTCAGGGGATGGTGTGTGCGCGATGATCATCATTATTTAACCGAGTACCGAAACGATAAGAATATGTAGCCAACGGCATGCTCCTCTCAGAGTGGGTCGTAAACCGGCTTAGTGATCGGCTAAGTGTCCCGACGGGCATTGTATTACAGCTGGATGAAGCTGACTGTTTAGGTGTTGTACAACAGTAGAAGGCGACGATAGGCAGCAGGCAGACATTAATTAACGACAGGCATTAATTAAAAAATACTCACACTGTTTCGTCGCATACACAACATACACTTTATTCATGGTAAATAACTACAGATTCATGCTCTATGCTCCGCTCGATACATTTGCGAGCTCTATGATGCGAATTTCTACAAAGGCCAACCGGTCACCAGGGCTACGCCACTTGACGGAATGTCACAACTACACGAAAAGACTTTTCTATACGTCCACGAGACATCTAACTTGTATGCATAATGCAAATTATTACACTCTAGTGCCGAATTTCACAGGAAAAAAAATCCAAAAAGGCCTTTTCGAGAGACCAAATAGTGCCACGGTGAACAATTTCCGGAGGCTTACTGTTGATTGTCCCTTTTATCCCTGCTGTGGGTGACCACCCGGCTAGAGCTAACTCCGCCGTACTGCCTCGCCGTTCCAGAGTCGGAGGTGTCATGCAGAAGAGCTAACTTACATTGCTATAATGCAGCCTGCTGTTGAGTCAAAGAGGAGCTACACGTGGTGTAGAGCTTATAGTCATACATTGCTATACAGCCCTGCCTGTTCTTGAACATGGCAGTAAAGAGACGCTAGACGTCTACTACATGTGGTTTTCAGCTAAGTCATACATGTCTATATTCAGCCTCAGCCTGCTGTTGTGTCCACCCCAAGTAGGACGCGTAGCTACTTTTGCTATGGCTAGGCGTCTAGGCTTATACTCATACATTGCTATACAGCCTTGCTGTTGAGTAAAGAGGAGCTACACGGGTAGAGCTAACTCATACATTGCTATACAGCCCTGCTGTTGAGTAAAGAGGAGCTACACGGGTAGGTAGCTATAACTCAACAGTTGCTATACAGCTCTTAGCGTTGAGTTAGAGGAGCTACACGTCGAGCTACTCTACATTGCCTATACAGCCTTGTCCTATGGTTGTTGTATGTAATATGGCTATCGGGTAGAGCTTAACTCTACTGCATACACCTTGCTGTGGAGTAAAAGGCAGCTACACGGGTAGAGGCTCATTAGTAACGTCATCATTGGTGCGACAGTGCCATTTGAGCTGTTGAGTATAAAAAGGAGTACACGGGTTAGAGCTACTAGTAACTCATACAATTGCATACAGCCTTGCTGATGACGTATAAATATGCCGAGCCTCCCCGGTAGAGCTCTGTCGACTAGCTAACCTGCAGGCTGACGATTGCTATACCAGCGTTGCTGTTCTTGTATATAAGAGTTGGAGCTACTAGGCTTAGAGGCTACACTCACTACTAGTTGCTATACAGCCCTTGCTGTTTGACGCTATAGAGGAGCTACACGCGGTAGAGCTACTCATACATTGGTATACAGCTTTCGACCTGTTGTAGAGTAAAAAGTAGCTAGCACCGGCTTCTTAGAGACTATCTTTTGAGTTAACTCATACAATTGCTATACAGCCTTTTGCTGTTTGAGTAAGATGGGCTACACGGGTCAGAGCCTAACTCATACAGTTGTCTATTATCAGCCCTGCTGTGAGGTATAAGAGGGATGCTATATGGTTAGAAGCTACTCAGTCATTAATCATACGATTGCTTCAGCTTGCTGTGATTAAAAGAGGTAGCTTACACGGCGCGTAGAGCTAACTCGTAGTTTACTGTACAGCTCTA